TCATCTCAACCTCATTGAGGAGGTTGAGACCTCATCTCATCTCAACCTCATCTCATCATCAACCTCATTGAGGAGGCAGGAGTACTGGTCCTCGATGGTATGGGCCAGCCCAAACGCCGACCGGTGTAGTTTGCCGTCCGACACGTGGCGGGAGTTGAACGTGTCGAAGGCTTGGTCGACGAGGGCGATGAACTCCGCCTCCTTCCGGTACCGGTCTCCGAAGATGTGCGAGACCGCCTTGGCCACGCGCTCACTGAGGAGCTGGGCGGCCAGGTACACGCGCTGGCATTCCTGACCCCGCACCTGCGACACACGGGGAACCAAAGGAGTAATAAATAATGACGTTGGTTGACTTTTTGTTGGTCAACATTCAGGCTCACTGAAGGGTCAAATTTCGTAAATTTTTAACTTGTTTCCAATGACGAGATAAATATTTGACTACAGTTAACACACACTATAATGTGCTACACTATCACAGCTTTGCATCAAATGTAAAAAGACATTGCTTTTCAGCGTCACGGAATTAATCATCCAAGTTGATGGCACATATCATTCATAATGCTGCTGGTTATGGTAATTAACATTGATAACTTGCTCACCGTGATGTGCTTCCACTTCAGAAAGTGGCATAGCCGAAACTCAGAGTTATCTTTCTCCAGAAGGTTGCAAAAGACCTTCTTGTCGATGACAGGGCCGCCTGGCAGCTGGAGGCCTTGCCGGAGAATGTGATTGCGGAGAAGCTTTAGGAGGTGTGGCACGTCCGCGAAGGTGAAGATTTTTCTGCAGAGTGAAACGGAACGAAGTTGCCGTCAGCTAGCATTTACACGGAAATTAAGCTACAATTTTAGTGGTTTTCGAAAGGCTGAATGCCGGTACCAAGGCCATCAAGACAATCGTTGCCAGCGGCATGACATACATGACATATTTGGTTTCAATGCAACATGAATGAAGAGTTGCTGTGGCTACATAAGCTTGCTACACAACATCGAAATATAAGCTTATTTATGGTCTCCCTAGAAATTAGTGTCCGAAGTTAAAAACTGATGAATAAGAAAGTTAGAAAAGTTGACTTACCGGCTGGGGTCGCACGGATGGGCAAAGAACCCGTCCTCCGGGTCGATGCCCAGTCCGTCAGCGGCCTTCGGCGACCACAGCAGCTTCCGGTTGGCCGGTCCCAGGTCGCACACCATGGCGACGACCACGTAGCCGGCAGACTCCACGGCGGCGATGATGCGGTGGAGAAGGTCCTTGGTGACGTCCTTGTTGTAGTCGAAGAAGACGGGCTGCTTCCAACGACTGCACAAGGAGTGGACCATCACCACCTGCATCTTGTCGTTGGGGCCGTAGACCGCGTCGTCCGTGGAGTCGTACGCCACGCGGGGATCGATGGTGATCTCGTCGAAGGACATGACGATTCACACTGCAAACATCAATGGAGAGCCCAGCCATGAGCCAACACATCAGTCAAGTAATCTCACCTGAACAATTTTCATCTGCGACCTGCCATAGGAAATACACTTATGACATAGGTATCGTCCAGCAAGCTTGCCAGGGTCACCCATTCCCAGGGCCTGAATGACGGACTTCGAAACGTACTTGGAACCAATCTTGTTCAATTTTGGCACTTCCGACTCACTTGAAATCAGTGCGTGCCCCTCATATGCACAACGCCGTCTTCTGCCTTCAATATTCATCTTGAAATTAACATAGAAGCCAAGGCGTACAAGCGCTCAAATCTCGGGCAACCTGGCGTCGGCGACGGAAGTGGCGCACGTCGCCATTTCCAATATACGGTTTATAACAAAAACGAGATAGTTTTCGACAAATTTAGCCATTTTCCGTAAAACCATATGCTTAATGAGGTATATCAATCGAAAGTCAATACGCTAATCTATCTCAATCAACAACTTGTAGAGGCCAGCTCTCTACCATTTTTCAACTACCTCTTTACCATAGTGCCATTTTTCATTCAGACATTGAAGCCTTTAGGGGCGAATTTCGCCTTTTTTCGCGGCGAACCTACCTATATGATTATTCAATATTCATACTGGCAGTGTGTCTAGCCAGGTGCGTCTGGAGGGCACAACAGCCCGGCCACGGTCCACAGAGTGCCGTTCGTTAGACCGGCGCGCTTACAAACATATTCGATTTCAGCATCACCTTGGTCCTTTCGGTCAGTTGGACTACCGGCTCTAGACCACCGGCGTCTTGCGCTGACTTCTTCCTGGCTTTGGCGGGCTGGTGGATGGCCTTCAGGTTGAAGCAGGGCTGACCGATGTTCCGCAGCTGACGGCTGTTGATGTCCTGCTCCATCTCGTGGCTAGCGACGAGCCGTGGTGCGTCAGCAAACTTGCGCCTCTCTGCGTGGGAAAGATGAGCCTCCAGACGGATTGAGAGGAGCCTATAATCATCAAAGCTGGAGGGAGGTGCTCCGCTCCCAGTTGAGGCTGATCATGTCCCCGCTGAGGCGAGGGAGTGGTCCCGGGACCAGAACTTGACCGGTCTCCGCCAGAAGTCGCTTGGTGATGAGGATGGCGTGCCTGGCGTCCTCCTTCAAGGAGCCGTCTGAGTAGCTTGGGAGCAGTGTTCGTCCACTGTATACGTCGCTTCCGCACATCCAGACGACGACGCTGCGCTGAGAAAAAAGTTAGCCCTTCTTTGAAACCGGTAGGCATTCTCATTCTCCCTATTCAAATCAGACCACACGTTTTAAGTCCCTCTCTCGGTTTTCTCAGAGAATAGCATTCTCAGCTGAGAATGTTTCCGTAGCGAGTCCCAAAACTGGCATCACCATTCTCGAGCAAAGCCAGTACGCGAACTCGCACGAGACGGAAATTGCTTCTCACTGCAAACCATTTTCTATGCGTTTCTCACGAGAGTCTGGTATCCGGTGTACGGTGGGAAGGTTATCAAAAGCCCTTCTCACGAAAACCCAAGCTTCGGTTTCTCGTAAGCTCGATGGAACCTCTCACGAAGTACACATACGCCCTGCACCGTGCAGCCCAGAATTTGGCCCAGAAAACGCACGCTGTAATTATACGGTATTTATTATTGCGACAAAAGTAAGACCAAGCCTGCAGCAACTGCAGGCAGCCTTGGTCTTAATAAAAACAATAAAACATGAAAAGCTTGCGGGGAAGCCCGAGGGCTGCCGCCCTCAACGCGAGGCCCGAGTTGCGGAGCTCCCACCAGCGACACGAACCCGCTCAGGATATACGCCGGACACCGATCACCTAGAACAGGACGACATCCAAAACTCCACCGCCAATTCCACCAGCGCGGGCTGAGGCCGAGCCACCTGTCAACGATTGGTGGCTCCGCCCTCGGAAGCCGTCGGCAGAAGCAAGACCACCGGCAAGTCAACCAGATGAGCGACGGCTTACAGTAGCAGACCATCCGCGACCGAGCGGTACTCTGCCAGATCGATATCTTCCGCTGTCACTTTTCCTCGGTTCATGGTGACCGGCGGGCAGCGGAGCGTCGATGATTCATCGACTCATCCTTGAGGGTGTCTTCGTCTGCAAAACAGTAAAATTGGGAGCGGTCAGTACAACTTTGTCCCATATATTTGATATGATCTACCAATATATCCGGGATTTTATAATAATATTCTGGCTTGGATGTCCGGAGATAAGGTTTCCGCCTGATAAAAAGCCTCTCTTTCGACCATTGCGACACGTGTGCCTCACATTGCCGCCTCCAAATAAAAAAGCTTACTGAATGGTCTGCGTTGCTCTGACCTCCTCATCTGATTAATCTGGGTCCTCATCTGGATTTTCAGAGATATATGATCTTACGCTTGCGCTGTGGGATTTGGATCCGTAACTACAATGTGTCTTCGATTATCATTTGTCAGGCTACTTGAAATGTGGCGAAGTTCGTTCGAAGCGCACCAAAATAAACTTGCAGATAATGTGTTTTGTCGGTCTTTTCAGGACCTTGCATCTTCTTTTGTGGGCACTTGCGAACGAATTGGTTCAATTGCCTACCTTCACGTTGCCGTGTGCATTGTTGGCTAATGGTTCACCTCGTTTGCAGATGGCTTAGCGATCAGCTGCTTTGTAGACAAGTCAATAATAAACGGGTACTGAGCGAAAAAATCAATCCCCACGAGATAGCCAATGTCACCTATCTTGTCACTCTGAGTTTTCTCGTGTCATATCCCTTACTCGATGACGTTGTGTTGTTTGATTGTCTCAATGTTGTTGGCATCTCAATTGCGATAGCGATCTTGCAATGGAAAACCTTGACTGATAAAGGTTATTTGTGATCCCTGAACTGCTCGTTCGTTATAATCGTCAGCATTTCTAAAGCTGCCCCCTTTACCCCAATACCCATCTCTTTTCAGTGGCCTGTTGTTACTGTGTTCGTCAGGTTTGTTTTATTTTGTTTGAGGCTGCTGATGTGTTTTTCTCTTGTTCAGTGAATTGTGTTTTACAGCGCATTCGTCTCTCACGTAACGCCATTCTAGTTTTTCATATCTACCCATTGGTAGAGATAGTTTATCATTGCCTCGGCGAGTATTGCGTTGCTTGAATTATGACGATGTCTCTCTTTGGCAACTGCTCCAAGAAAGACGCTCCGTTTGCTTGCGAGTTTCTTGCTTATCGTCTCATCTCTTTCTTTTCACAGCGCTTTGCGACAAATTACTGAGCCCACTCTGACACGTTCTGAGGGGCGCATTGTGGTCCCGTTACCTATGATCATTAGTCAGCGATGCTGTTGCATTTCCCTCCCATTTGTCTAAACCCATCTTACTGATGACCCCTTACCGTCCAGATTTTATTGACCTTACTCTGAACTTGCTCTGAGCTCGCCTTGTTTACTAGTTGCTTTGTTCACCCAGCTTGTTGACTGGGCCACTGGCCATTGGCAGTGGTTTCTGTTTGCTTGCTCGCATGAGATCACCCACTGTTGCCCGTTGCTGGCTTTGCTGGTGCCGACCGAGGCCGTCTTTTTGACGGCTCTTCGTTGTTTTCTCTCTATTCCGGTCGGCCCAGCGCTAGGCAGCAGTGATGGAGGACGAGCTTCAAGCTGGCGAGGACGGTTTCTACTGCGTGGGCTTCAAAAACGTGTTTGCGCTGAACGAGTCGCAGATCATGAGCACGTTCTCGCAGTACGGCAACGTGCAGTCGGTGCGCGGTGCCAAGGACGGCATTGACAACCGCCGCTGGACGTTCGTGCGCTTCTGCAACCCCGAGGAGGCGGTGCGCGCCATCACGGGCATGCGCGCGTCACCGCACCTGTGCAATGTCAACTACGTTAAGTACGTGGCGGACGCGCGGCCTAAGAGCGAGCGCCTGCAGACGGGCGGGACCACGCGGCCGGCGGCCGGCAGCGGCGTGTCGCCGATGGTGCGCGGCGACCAGCCGGCGGTGCCGGAGCGCTCGCCGGCGCGGCCGCCCGCCGCCGGCGCCTCGGGCAAGTACGAGGTGTATGTGGGCAACTGGCCGCTCTCGCTGGAAGAGGACGATCTGTACGGGCTGTTCGCCAAGTTCAACATCAAGGCGCTGTCAGTGCGCCTGTACAAGAAGGAGGAGCGCGGGTAAGTCCTCGGAGTCGGTGGATGGACCGTTCCGGGCCACACTTTTCACCTTCCTTCCCGGCTTATAACCCTTCCCCGCTGGAAGAAGCATGCTACCATGATATGTTACCTTGCTTCCGTGGAAACGGGGATATGGTTCATCTGTGTTTTGCTGATCGTAATGTAGTTATCTCACTTTTCTAAAAGTCAAACGTTTTGGTTTCACAAAGGCTTGAAAAGAGGCGTTGATGTGTGCTTATGCCACCTTCCTGCGAACTAAATCGCCACTGACGTTTCTCCATTTCTGGCCTGCCGTCGCCTGTTCACAGTTTCGCCTTCGTAGTGGTGCCCTCGGCCGAGGATGTGACGCGGGCCATCGAGCAGCTCAACAGGGGCAAGGTGGCCGGCCGCCAGATCGTCGTCAAGGACTCGCGTCACAGCAGTTGTGAGAGAGGGAGCGAGGGACGGCGAGTAGCTCGGCGGGATAAGTCTGTCAGGACTGGGTCCTTTGCGTAAACTGCAGGCAAGAGATATAGTTACGTTGGCTGAAATTTGTGCCTTGGTGTCAGTTCAGACTACTGATGCGATGCTAGTCAATCTCTTACATTTGTATCGACTAATGTACTTCATATTTGAACCAATATTGAATAGGATTTAAACAGCATTAATAAATCGTTTTTCGCAAACGTGACATGTCTTTGGTGTCTATCATAGGCTGTAATTGGCTCAGAAATAGATGTGTCAACATAATTTAAGGATCGCGTTTTTTATCTAGCAGCGGTTATTTTCATGCACGTTTCAGCCGCAAACAAACATCAGACCCAGTCGAACCAGAATGCCCAGGAGCCGCGGAAGCAGCAACAGCGGCGGCAGCAACAGGAGCGGTCTCAGAGTCAGCAGCGGCAGCCTCAGAACCAACAGCACCAGCCGCAGAACCAACGTCAGCAGTCGCAGCCGCAGCAGCAGCGGCAGTCGCGCCAGCCCCGGCCGCAGCAGCAGGCGGCGGCGCCCGCCGGCCGGCCCCAGTCCGCTGGCCGGCCTCAGGGTAGCGTGCGCCAGCGTCTGGGCGGCTCCGTGCACCGGTCCGGGGAGCGCGCGCCGCCCGACGCCGCGCAGATGCCTCCGCTAGTGCTGCCGCCGCCGGAACAGCCGGCCATGCCACCGCGCCCGGCAGCGTACCGGCCGCCAGTGGGCGCCAACGGAGCGGCCCCGCCGGCACAGTACAACGGAACGGCCGGCCGACCGCCGCGCCCAGACATCCGCTTCGACCGAGAGCCGGCCGGCTACGATCGTTCACCGGCTCGGTACGACCGTGACCCGGCTCGGTACGACCGCGATCCGGCTCGCTACGACCGTGAACCGCCGGTGGACCACTTTGAGTCCGAGTTTGAGCCGCCGAGGCCGAGGGCAGGGCCGTACGGCGGTCCGCCGCGACCGGCGCCGACTAGGTCGGCGCAGCCTGGTCCGCCCCCGCTGGCTGGCCTCGGGTCGCGACGCAGCTATAACCAACGGTGAGTGGGTGGCAGTGGAACAGACGTTGGCAACTGACTCGTGCTCTGTCCGCTAGTGGATCGCAGGCCCGGTGTTAAATTTAGTATTTCATGGGCGAATAAGCGCTAGGGCTATCGTTGTTAATATATTTTGTGTTTATTTTGCACTTATCGATAAAATGTCGCCCACATTGCCTTTTACATGACTGACCCGCTGGTAACCTTCACTGACCCGGCGGTGACCGGTGACCTGACCCCACGGTGACTGGTGACCTTTGCTGACCAGCGGTGACCGGTGCCCCGACCCAGCGATGATTGGTGACCTTTGCTGACCCGCGGTGACTGGTGACCTCTGCGGCAGGGCCGATGCGGAGGTGGACTACTCGGAGCCGTTCGTGAAGCGGGCCCGGTACGGCGAGCCGGAGCCGGCCGGGCCGATGCGCACGCCGTCCGCCCCGCCTCCGCTGGCCTGTCCCGTGGGCCCGTCGCCGCGCATTTCCATGCAGCCGCAGCGTGGAGGCGACAGTGAGTGGGCCGCTGTGTGGGCCCAGGGCGAGTGGGACCGCCGGGCCGGGCTGTGTGGGCTCAGGGGGATGGGTAGGACTGCCGGGCTGTGTGGGCTCAGGGGGATGGTAGGACTGCCGGGCCGGGCCGAGCTGTGTGGGCTCAGGGCGAGTAGGACTGCCGGGCCGGGCTGTGTGGGCTCCTTAGAGCAGGGGTCGGCAAATGGTGGGGCATGCCCCCTTTGGGGGTAATGACGCCCTTCGGCTGGGGGTAATGAGGGCCTCTGAGAAAGCCTCATCTTTTTAGAAATAATGGCTCCCTTGATGGGACACTGGGACAGGCATCGCAACTGTTGTGCCCTAGGATTCAAAAATTCGTCGAGGGCAAACGCACAAAGCATGAACTGATCAGCTGGCGCATGCCGATTTTCATTAGCTGCTCACCATTCCGTACAGTCGTGCAAAAGTAACTGTCATGTATTAACCGGCGCTCGCCCATTGGCGTTTTCACAGTCACTAACACAAGGGAGAGGAGTCGTCCATTGCACCCTGACCCGAGCATCTCGGCCTCTGAGCTGGAGCTTTGCAGAAAAATTGAGCGTGTTGCCCGTGAAGATAGGCAGCCGCTGCTACCCAATTTAAAGGTCCTTGGTCATTGGGTGACCTTCCAGAAGTCAATGACAATTATCGAGTAAATCGGGTCCTGCTGTAGCTTCTAGAAGTGAGATTTTGTGGCCTGCCATGATCTCAATAAAGATATCACAAATCAACGGTTATTCTGGTTCATGCCATTTTCAGGACAGATTAACCCAGATTAACGGTTTAGCCTGCAGGAGACAAAAACTGCCAAAATGTACGGTGTTTACTGTTAACTGATAGCTTTTCTTCAGTAACTTTTCACTCAAAACTTGCAAGAGCTCACTTTTATCAGCATCGTGATCCTCCCGTCGAGAAGCATCGAAGGTTTTGTTGCACATCAGTCGATCCGTATCGTCGAGCTGAACACATCTAAGGCATTTTCATCGCTCTGACCTCAGGGACATACAGCGGTGTTACGGGTGCACTTTTCCGGTTCAGTGGCCATGTTTACTTGTAATTTAGTGTTTCACAGTGTTAGGAATGACACTCGTCCAAAAGGGTCCAAAAGGGTTTCATTGCTCTACCATTGGCTTTGCGCCCTCTCCCACTGATCACCTGACCATTGGTCACCGACATCAAATCTCCGAGATACAAATTTTGTACATGCTATTGCCTTATCAATTCCTGAAAGTTTGAAAGAGGTGTGACTCTGTGTAGCTACGGCAGGCGTTACAGTCTCTACTGAGGTGAGGTCACTTGACGTGATCTGGTGACCTGACCTTGAGTTACTTTGGTCTGAAATTTTCACAACATGCGCAGAAAAGATGTATGATAAAATGTGTCAAAATGGTGGCGCTCCGTGGCAACGTTTTTTGAGGTATTTGCAAGAAAACGCAGGGGGAGGGGCGGGGCCCCCTGCGGTTTCTCGCAGATATGGTACCCAAAGAGTCCCGGAAAAATATAAAATTTCAGTAACCTTGGTTGCATCACCAATGGGGTCTGGTAGGTGGGGGTAATGGCCCTGCCTGGCGCCAAAAAAGGGGGCACGACCCCGGAGGACCTGCCGACCGCTGCCTTAGAGGGATGGGTGGGACTGCTGGGGGGCCAGGCCGGGCTGTGTGGGCTCAGGGGGATGGGTAGGACTGCCGGGCTGTGTGGGCTCAGGGCGAGTGGGACCGCCGGGCCGGGCTGTGTAGGCTCCTTAGAGGGACGGGTGGAACTGCCGGGCTGGGCAGGGCTGTTCGGCCTCAGAGGTGCGGAAGGGAAACGGGGGCGAGTGTTGTACGCTATACAGGGTGACATCGGTCGAGTTAACGGCCTTTGCTGCAGCGGCCTATGACTGGTACTGAAGCGTGCCTTCCGTGAAAGAATGTTGATATTATTACGTCCATAGCCCGTGTGCTACCGCGGCTGTAAAATTACAATTATGTCTTTCTGCTTTTCAGGATAATGCAGCTCACAATGTATACAATTGCTATGAGTGTGATTGTACGAGTACATCAGTACATGATTTATATTCCGCTGTACATGTGGCTAGCAGCTGATATAAAGTGTTTCTCAATGTTGTCGTTGATTGTGTTCTGCCAGTGCGTGCACCGAAGTCATTCCTTTTCAAGACTTTGCGCGTATCAATTGTCAATTGTATTTTCCGTCAGACCACAATATCCCGTCTGACCAAGTCCTCCCAGTCTGGCCACAGTAAGACCGTAATAATATCCGTCTGACCACGCCCACTCCCCACGTCTAACCGCCGCGCGTCTCGCCCGTCTAACCCCCACCTCTCTCTCTCCCGACAGTGGGCCCTCCGCCGATGGCGCTCCGCTCCGCAGTGGCCATCTCAGAGCGCATCAAGAGCCGCCTGCACGCGCCCATGGACGTGGTGGCGGCCAACTTCCCGGCAGGAACCAACGAGCACGACCTGATGCAGCTGTTTGACCGGTTCGAGCCGCTGAATGTGCGCATCATGGTCAACAACTCGAGCCCGCACCCAGACGACTTGTGAGTGGGGGTCTCGGGGCGAAAGGGTTGGGAGCGCATGCTGGGTGCTTAACATACTGGCAGCTTTTGTGATTTGTTCCGTTCATTTGTGAACTTAACATTTATTTCGCTGTTCTCTTCCTATTTGTCCCCCAGTCATACCGCCATGTCCTGTCCTCCCCAAGTTGATCACCATGTTTCCCGATATAATCACCATTGATGCTGATGCTCACCCACCCTTTACCCTGACGCCCTCTCCCGTTTTGTTTTTTGTTTTTTGTTTTCCTGCTGTTGTTTTTGCGTCGGTTTTGTGCCGCCCCTGCCTCCTCGATACGTACGCATACGTGACGTGACGCTGTTCCCCGTCTCCTCAGCACGCACTCGTATGTGACGTGACGCCGTGCCTCTTTCTCCTCAGCACATACACCTATGTATGTGGCACTACTTTTCGTTCTCCTGAGTATGTTCACCTATGTGACGCTGTCCCCTCTTTCTACCCAGCACGTACGCGTACGTCACGCTGTCCAGCCGGATGATGGCTGACGAAGCCGTCATGGAGATGGATGGTATGGCTTTCCACGGCCGGCCGCTGGTCGTCGAGACGCGCAAAAACTAGCGGCCGCGCCGTGCATTCAGCGGGCAGACAGACGTGACCTGACCTCGGCCCCCCGCCGGTACGGACCCCGGTCTTGTGCGGTCGGAATGGGACGGACACAGCCCAGCGGCGGCCACAAACGCCGCGAGCTAGCGCAGAGCGCAGAGGATCGAGCGACATCGTAGCATTTTCATCGGTTTTGTGCGTTTTACACAACCACTCATCATTGACCAGACCTGACCGCGTTGTTAGCAGTAGTAGACAGTTAAGTTTCAGTGGATCTGTGCGGCCCGTGAGAGGCCAGCTGTTAGCGCGGAAATTTCAACAAGTGCATGCTGGTTTGGTCTGCTGAGCCAAACCGATTTCGCACTTAATGACAAATACATTTCCGATGAAATTTGTGTTTGGCGGTTTGGAGTGTTTCGGAAGTGGAATGGATGGGACGTTTTTGTGTAAATGATTTACGTTACATGGCAACGGAATCAGCTCGACATCGATGCCTGATTGCACAACTTACTCGAAAACGCCTCACGACTCACGAGTTATTCTGGGACCTTATAGTGATACGATCCGACGTAACAGTAGATGCGTTATCTTTAGTACCTAGATTATATTATCACACTCATGCATCATCCAAGAATCATTGCAACACGCGTTGAATCGTAGTTACCAGTAGTTATGTACGCAAACGTAGAGTAACGCAGACTTGGCGTGTGCACGAAATTTGCGTGTTTGTCCGTCGCAAGCCGACTGGCCAAAGCGAAACTTCACACTCGTGCCGCTCCTCTTGTGATTCAGCGATAAAGATATTCAAAGATGTCTTTCTTTCTTAATATCAAAGATAGGTCGATATACCATTCAGAAGTGTTTTTTTCCATCATAAGCCCTCGCTCGTATTGGTGTTTTGCCAGCCGCGAACGCATAAGGAGGGGGGGGGGTTCCTTACCGTTTCGCCCCTGATCGAGCTAGAGCGTCACGAAAAAACGAGCGTGTCGCCCCTGACGAGAGGAGGCCGATAATACCCAATTTTAAGGTCCTAGGTAATTGGTCCACCTCCCAGGTCAGGTCATTGACCCAAAAGTCGGGAAAATCGGGACCTGTTAGAACGTCGTTAAGTGTAGCTGCTATGGAGCTTTTCGGAGTGCTGATCACGAATATCATGTTAGTTTTGATCACAGATGATGTCTTCATGCATTTAAGCCAGGTCACGTTAGGTCAACCAGTAGGGGTCCTGCCGGCTATTTGTAGTAGTTGTCAACCACCTCCGACAGCTTCGTAACATGTTGCGAAGGCACCAAAACTACTTCGTAAATGTTCAAATGGTTGCTAAATTCGAATCCAGCTAAAAAAAAAAATAGCCTAGAAACATGTAAAACTTGGAAAAGTGAACCGAGGTCATCAAAGGCCAATGACCTGACCTGACCTTCAGGTGACCTCGATACCAATTCTAATGCATGGGACCAACATCAAATCACATGTTTGAACGCTTGAAACCACGTAAAGACTGCAAACACGCAGCTAATACGAGCCGACATACGCCGAATCGCGATTCAGGCCAAACATGGTCCCGAAAAGTAGGCCACTGGTCAAAGGTCATTTGGGTCAGGGTCATGACATTTTCAGAGTAGGTGTAAAATTGATTAACGGGAGCATACTGAAAGTCTCGTCGCGATCGGCTACTTTTTACGCGAGTTATTCGCGAAAAACCGAGGGGGTCCGTTCGCCCCCCCCCCCCCCCCCACTATACGGGCGACCGGCGAGGGTTAACCCGCGCCCCGCTGGGGGGGGGCAGAATCTGCCCCCCCTCTCGTTTTTCGCCAATAACTTCTAAACGCGTCATGCCGGCGACGTCAAACTTTCAGTACCTTATCATACATCAATTTGACACGTTCCCTGAAAATTTGAGCGAAATCCGTCGGAAATTTTTGAGAAATTGACGTTTTAGTGACGTCATGTTCGCCATTTTCGCCTCAAAAACGGCAAAATTTCAAACGCCGCTAACATCTTCATTTTTTAAAGGAATCAAGACGTAACAAAAAAGGTTATACGTGATTCTACTTTGTCTATCAAATGGCTATCTCAGTTTTTTTGAAAATTTTGGATTTTGGCCAAAAATTTTCCAAAAAACTGACTTTTTTGGGAAAATATTTATAAAATCCAAAATTTTAAGTTTATCGAAAAAACCGGAATATATGTCAAAGAAGTGGTCTATGTGCACCTACATACCAATTTTTAGAAGAATCGGTTCAAAAATGTGGGAGTTATTCAAAATTTTATGACGTCAAGACACACAAAAATTTTAAAAAAATGATTTTTTGGACGTTCTAGACCTCGTACGGAAACAAAAATAGCACCATTCGATTCGCCGTGAAAAACTGCATCGAATAGACACCTTTTTAGGCCTTAACAACCAACTTCAAAATTTGACCTCACTTGACCTGACCTTGACCTGACCTCGACCTGAAATTCATCCAGAGGTGGTCCATATCACTTATTGAGTGTGCCTATTGAATTCCATGAGTAAAATGACCCATAAAACATGTGTCGCACATGCCCTTTTCTATATTTTGTTTTTGGTGACCTGACCTGACCTGACCTGACCTTGACCTTGACCTTTGAATGACACTGTGTGCAATGAATATTGTCTTGGTAGTCTAAGAACACGTTTTGGGCAATCAGTCTCAGTCCATTATTCGGCAACTACGGTGCAAGGCCGATACTGTAGAAACTTGTATTTTGTACCCTTGACCTGACCTTGACCTGACCTCTGACCTACTTAAGCAAAAAAATTTGGGCTCTTAAGATCCGCCTTGTTGAGAGCTTTCTATTGCCGTTTTCCCCGTCTTTCTACGACCATCGGTTCGGAAGATAGACAGGGGGCAGAATCTGCCCCCCCCCAGCAGGGCGCGTATGGCTGAATAGCCCAGCGGGGCGCGGGTTAACCCACGAGCCGCTGGGGGGGGCATAAAGTTGCCCGCCCTTTACGTTTTGTGAAATATCTCCGAAACCTGATGAGCTACGAACTTGAAACTTGGCATAGCTTCAAATGAATACCTAGGCAATGTTTGAGGAAAGTTTGGTGGTTGTAGCACCTAAGATGACGTCACAGTGACGTCATAAAGTTTTGTCGTTTTCCGATATGGACCGTTTCTGATGACGCTGAGCATGAAACTCAACTGTAAATGAACTAGACAGCACCTGGCACCTGCTGTCATCCTAAAACATCTAACTACACTTCCATCTAGTTTCTGACCAATTATCGACCCTTTATATTCGGTCCCATATATCTGATGTATCGTGAGGATTATGAGAGTCGCAAATCTATAATTTCACTTATGACGTCACTGTGGCGTCATTTCAAATGGGATCGACACCAAATTTGGACACAACCTCGGCTATGTATTCACGAAGATGTGTGCAAAGTATCGCTTCTCTACCTTTTCGCGTTGCGACGATATCGTCGCAGAAGTAAAGGGGGGGCAACTATATGCCCCCCAGCGGCCGGCGGGTGGCGCGGAGGCCCAGCGGCCGCCGGGTTAAGAAAATGGCGACAGTACAGTCTGTCTTAAAAGTACCGCGCAAAGTGACGGTGGATCCATCGAGCCTGACTGAGGAAGGGCCTGCTAAATTTGGGTCACCGAAGCAATTGACATCCTCGTCCATTCCCTAGGTCAATTGGTCGGTGACTTTCAAATTAAAGCAGGCCCTTCCTCGGTCAGGCTTGATGGATCCACCGTCACTTTGCGCGGTACTTTTAAGACAGACTGTACATAGCGTCGCTTCCTCCAGGGAAAAATTGCCTTTCAACCGTGCTTGCCTGCATGGTTGGAGACAACGGGATCAATACATATAGCAACGAATGAACACAGCTGCATGTCATTTTCCTTCTTGGAAAATGGCAAGACTCGATCGATATCACTCAAAACCAATTATTCGAACAGGACTTGTATATTTGGCAACGCAGAAAGAAAAGAGTGTTCCAGGCCGCATGAGTTGTGGGTTGATCAATGATCACACACTCAGCACGTAGGCAGGAGCCCTCTTTGAAAGGTCAAGAGGAAGGCTTACACTGCGAGAGCCTACCAAGAAATTGAAATAATGAGTTATTCATTATGCGGGCTTGCATCGCAAACAATCAGCAGATCAGATAAAATCATGTGAAACGGCATTCTATGAAGACGAGGAAGAATGTACAGCACATCCAACCCCAAGTCCGTGACAGAAGCACAGATTGGGGCAGGACAACCAGTGACACATACACCGCGCTTCTGACCTACTAGCACCTCAGTCCTTTGTACATACATGTTCATCGCCGATAAATTACATCCGTCGGCCACCCAGCGTCGAGCTACTCTACTGCAGCGCTCTACGACCGCATCCCGGGGCCGCTGTTAGCTTCAAGCAGACTGGAAACAAAACCTAGTTACCTAGAAAAACAAGGTGTCCGCACAGCGGCCGGGACTGGGACGGCACGGGCCGCCACTTCACAACGGTTCGTCCGAGCTGAACAGTGTCGGCGGCACGGGTCGTCCGAGTCAGGCGCGCCGTGACGCGAGGATTCTCCCGGGGTCGAGAGGCGACAGCTCCATTCAACAGCGGTGTCTGCAAGAGAAACAGTCGGCATTAATACGGTTGGTTTAGTTATTAGCGACATAGCTACGGGGGCGAAGCGTGCCTGATACAACTGGTACGAATTTTGCGAAAGGAGGCGTATTTATAGAGATATGGTAGCGACTTGCAGCGGCAATTTATGCAAGACGCAATGATTCAGTAATCAGTAAACAAATGAAACATTACTTGATGTTTAATCATAAAAAACTTTGTCATTTCTAAGTGTTTTCGCGAAAAAATCAAGTTGCCAACAGCTGCACGTGGTAAATAACTGGCTAAAACAACGAAAACTTGATATTTATTTTAGCTTAAAGTTCGTACGTGATTCTCACTCGAATCAAACATAACTAGCATTACTATCGCTTAATAAGGCTGCGCCGTTCCTCACCGTCAGTCGCAGTTCTCCAGCGCCCGGAGCGCGCGGCGCGGCCGGTCTGAGTGCTCCGCAGCCTTGCGCGTGCGGCGGGCGCGCTGTGGCTGGGGCCACGCCGGCGAGGGTTCGGCGCTCGCCGGCGGCGTGCTGCCGTCGGAGTCACTCTCCACTATCAGACACAGGCGGCGGCGGCGGCGCGGCGCCACCTCTGCCGAGCTCTCCCGCTCCGGCTCGGCCGCCTTCTGCGCGCCGCGGGTACTTCTCCGTCCGGCCGGGGCGGCGGCGGGGGCGGCGGCGGCGGCGGCGGCGGGGGCAGAGGCGTCAGCGGCGGCGGCGGTAGCAGCGGCGGAGGTGCGACTCTCTCGGCGGCGGGTGGGCCGCTGGGTCTCCTCAGCTGCGGCGGGGACGTTTTCGCTCTCTACGCCGCTCTCCTCCGGCTCCGTGTGCCGCGTCCGCCGCCCCCTGCTCCGGCCCGCTGCCGGCTGCGGTTCCGGCTCCGGCTCGGCCGTCTCCCCCGGCTCCGATTTGGCCTGCTTCGCCCGGCCACGGCGCCTCTTCGGAGCCTCCTGTTCTGCGCTGGCCGGGTCTGCCAGAACGGACTCCTGTGAGGTCGTCTGGTTTTCGGATGATGAGTTTGTGGCTCTGGTACGTCGTCTCTTGGGCAGCTCCTCCGCGGCAGGTGCCGCCTGCTCAGACTGCGGCTCGGTGGGTGTCGACTCTGGCGCGGCTGTCAGTTTCGCGTCGCACACTGCGGTCTCCATAGGCTGGGCACCAGAGCCCTCGTCAGACGCTACGGTGACCTCAGTTACATTCGTCGACACCTCCTCACTCGTAGCCTGCTTCCCCTTCTTCGACCGACCAACCCGCTTTTTCGGTGCCTCAGTCTTGGGCTCAGCAGGTTTCGACTCCACCACGTTCGTCAGAGCTGAGTCACACATAGGAGACTCCGCCGGGTGTGAAGTGGCAGGCTCCTCCGGCACATGCATCGGTGGTACCTCACTCGAGGCCTGCCTCTGCTTCTTAGAGCGTCCGCCCCGCTTCTTTGGCTCGGCGAATGTTGATTCTTCCGCGACACACACAGGAGGGCAAGGAGGCTCCGTAGGATGTGAAGAGGCGCCCTCCTCAGACACAATAGGGACCTCCGTTACATTCGTGGACTGTTTCTCACTCGCGGCCTGCTTACCCTTCTTGGACCGACCGTCTCGCTTCTTAGATGCGCCGGTCTTGGACTCGGTGGACGTCGATTCTGCCGCGTTCGTCGGTTCTGAGTCACGCACAGCAGACTCTGCAGACTGCGGACCAGAAGCATCCTCGGACGCAGTCGGCAGCTCAGACCGTACCTCACTCTCGGGCTGACTCCCCTTCTTAGGCCGACCGCCCCGCTTTTTCGGTGCCTCGGTATTGGGCTCGACGGGTGTCGACTCTACCACGCTCTCGAGGTTCGCGTCACACACAGCAGGCTCCAAAAGCTGCGGAGCAGGGCCCTCCTTGGACGAAACAGACTCCTCAAACGGTGCCTCATTCGCCGCCTGCTTATCCTTTTTAGAGCGACCGCCTCGCTTCTTAGGTGCCTCGGTATTGGGCTCGACGGGTATCGACTCTACCACGCTTTCCAGTTTCGCGTCACACACACCAGGCTCCGCGGGCTGCGGAGCAGGGCCATCCTCGGACACAGCAGTCACCTCAGGCTCAGACGGTGCCTCACTCGCGGCCTGCTTTTCCTTCTTAGGACGACCGCCTCGCTTCTTAGGTGCCTCGGTCTTGGGCTCGACGGGCTTCGACTCTGCAGGGTTCGTCACTTCTGCATCGCACGCAGTTGAGTCTTTAAGCTGCGGGCTACCGCCCTCCTCGGACGCAACAGTATCCTCGGTTACATTTGTCAGCGGTACCTCACTTGGAGCCTTTCTCTCCTTCTTAGGGCGACCGCCTCGCTTCTTAGGTGCCTCAGTCTTGGGCTCAGTAGGCGCGGGCTCTGAAACCGACTCCACGGGATCCTCGACAGCGACAGCGGACTCTACCGCTGGAGCGACCTCGGTGACCGACGGATCCTGTGGCGCGGCCTCGACCTTCTTGGCGCGAGCACTGCGCTTCTTGGATACCTTCGGCGCCGTCTGCTCTTGGTCTGCGGTTTCGACTCGCTCAGAATCGGGGACATCTTTCTTTGACCTGTCGCGTCGTCTCTTGCCAGGTTGCTCCTCGACGACCGTTGGCTCCTGCTCTGACTGAGCCGGGGCTGGAGCTGCTGGCTCTTCATTTTGGACCGGCTGTGTGATCGGACCTGGCTCAGGCGCCGGCGCTGCCTCGACTGCCGCCGGCGCAGTGGTCTTCTTACTCGGTCCCTTTTTAGCACGGACTTTTTGGGGGACTTCAGCCGCGTCCTGCTGTGGAGGAGCACTGGACGGGGCGTCTCCGTCGCCCTTCTCGGCCGTCTCCGCTGCCGGCGCCACCTCGTACGTGTCTCTACGGACGTCACGGGGCGACACATCCTTTGGCGCGTCCGCCGCCTTGGCAGCCAGCTCCTCAACTGGCGCCGGCTGCACGTTCTCCTTGTCCTCGGCGGCCTGCAGGATCGCGTCACGCGCGTCGGCTGCCGGCGACGGCGCCGGGCCCGCCTCCCGTCCGGCCGGCGCCACCGGCCGCTCGGCGCTGTATGTCACGTTGAGCGTTGTCTCGGCTGCCGGCTCCGACACCTTCTCAGCTGCTGAGTGAGGGAAGTCGGTGTTGAGTACGCTCTCGATGTACTCGCCGAGCGCCTGCTCGGGAGTCTTGGGCGCCGGGATCAGCGAGCGGCGCCGGCCGGGACTGGCGTCCGTGGAGCTGGCGCTCTCCGACGCGCCGCTGTCGGACCGGCCGCGAGGCGAGGGCGGCGAGCGGTCTGCCGCGACCGGGACCGCCGCCGCAGTCGCCGTCAGCGCGGCCGCCGCCTTGGGCGCCACCAGGCGCGGAGAGCCGAACATTTGCACGCGCTGCGGCTGACTGGCGGCCGGCGGGCCCTTGCTGGGCGGCAAACTGGGAGTGCGCGCCAGCTGTTTACCGGTGGGGATGACGTTCTGTTTGGTGGGCACCGGAATCCGACTCCTGACGGCGCCCCTACCCGGGGATGCTGACGGTGCGGACAAAGCGCTGACCTCGCGAGGCTTGAATACCGGAGGGCGCGGCTTCACAAACCTGAAAAAAACGTAAACACATCGTCAAGATCATATATTTGATATTGCTGGCGTGTGTGCAGCTGAGGTGGCTTGAGAGCATTGTGACAAGCAACTTTATCGTATTCATTTGTCGTATTTATCGTATCATCATTTATCGCCATTGCTTATGCGCTACCAGCCAAACCGGGAAGAAACCTGAGACTAAGAGGGCTATTGAGAAATAGCATTAATATGAAATCGTTTATACCTGACATCCTCCTGCGAGTCCTGAGACAGCGTAGAGCAGGTCGATATATCGCCGGGGTGCGACTTGCAGGGCGAGGACGCCAGGCCGGCCAGTCGCTGCTGCCGCTCACGCTCGGCCTCGCGTCGCGCCGCCAGGATCTGCTGCTGTTTGAGCACCTTGCGCAGGCGCGGGTAGAGCCCCTGGCTGCCGTACTTCTGCTCCAGGTGCGAGATGAACGCGGACCAGACGCGCGGCAGCCGGCGCGGGTCCACCACGTCCGCCGCCGTCGGGGTCAGGTGCGCGATGCCCACTCGGTTCAGTAGCCTGTCCCACAGCATGAGAGGAGACATGTCACTGACAAATGTTTTCATAATCCACAGCTTTTAGTTTCCCCAATGTGATCACTTAGTTTTAATTATTGACACTAGTCTGGCCAGACTTAAAAAGAACATATCCATTACAATTTTCATTGCCCTGTCTACTGACCCCAAATGAAATGCTTGAAGAAAAGGCTATTAAAGCATAAAAAATATTGCCCAATAAAAACCTGACCAGCATGATAAAATTTATCATTAAGTAGGGTAAATGTTCCCAGGCCAAACCATACCTCACGTCCCAAAAGCAAAATGATCTGTTCGCTCAGTTCTTCGGCTATTTTAAAGGATTTAAGCATTTAACTTAAAATGCATGACAGTATAGTAGCTCATAAACAAGGTGCAAATTAAAAACCCAGCCCAAGATGACTGAACTGCTCATACAACAGGCATCCTAATCTCTCTCGCCGCACACACCAATTATCAAACCCACCTTAAAATTTTCTTGCATGACAATGAGATTGATGCATTACCACAGTCCCATGTTTCATCGTACATTAAACACAGACGAGCATATATTTTCAAAATGAAATCTTTGTCCTCCTTGACGGGAAAGCTAACTTTAATCCCGGCAATATCAGTCAACTTTGAGCCTAGCTCTTCCAGCACTGCCGCCATGGCTGTTGTAGGACAATAAAAATGTGTGAACACTGAAGTCAGGCTGCAATATGTAGCCTTTTCAAATTACTTCGCAGCATATGCATAAAACAACACACGACACGCGAGAACTCCCACGACTCCCACACACTAAAGTTGTTTTGAAAATTCAAAATGGTTGCCAACGAATCTGAGTAACCATGAACTAAAACAAACACGTTTTATTTTTACATTTGATTCTATTTTTACATCTCATCTATAGAAGCAGTGATTTGATTTTTTTTTTGAATTTTCGCTTTAAAAATAATTCTTCAAAAAATAAAGAGTTATGAAAAAGATGCAACAAACCATAGTTTTTATTCTTGTTGTTTCACTAGAAAAGTGGCGCAGAAAATACAGAAGTAAGCCGTGTTCATTTGTGGTTTTAGTGCTTGTATTACTGCTTACACATGCGCTAATTTTCATTTGAAAGCAAGACACCCGTCCAGTAACAAGCGTCAAAAAGAACAATCTCTTAATGGTCACCATTCACATGCATAGGATGAGAAAACATTGAGGGCTTGATTGAGAGGGCCTCGGTACAAACGTTTTTTTACATTTTCATTGTGCAAAAGGCTCCGTTTGTCACAGCATCCCTGTACTATAGGCTCATGCACCAGCAGCCCTTTATGAATTGATACTTAAGTGTTTATAATTAGCACAATTGTATGCACGTGCGAATCAGAATCCAATCCAGTAAGCCAGTCTGCAAAACATGGCAGGGAGCTCGACAAGATTTTCGGGGCAGACAAAATCCTGCCCCGAATCAGAATGCTGAGTCCAGGGGCAGCCCAATTCCTGCCCCTAATGATGCAAATAATGTAACGATATACTGATGTAGGAAGCAGTGAGAAGCTGAGAAAATCACTTCTGTGTCAATTTTTTTAACTTCTGCACCAGATTTTCCTGTTTCTGCCCCAACCTTCCTGAAACCTGCCCCTATTTCTGCCCCAACCTGTGGTGTCTGCCCCGACGAGATCTCGTCGAAGCCTGCCACGTTTTGCAGACTGGCCAGTAAGGTGGTCTCAGTCTTGGATGCTGGCGCTGCAACAGCAAGGGCCGGCACTTGGGCCGGCATACGCTATATGAGTACGACCAAATAACTAAGTTCCGAAAATTCCACAGATTTTGATTCCTTATGAACTGCTAACAAGTTTAAAGCAACTCACATAAATGTTGTTTTATCAGTTTTGTCGGAAAAAGAATACCTACCACGCAGTCTGCTGAGGGCTGTACAGTGTACATTGACATAAGGATATCATCACACATAGTTGAGTCCTTAGGCTGTGGATGACAGTGCTTGTTTTTAATTATTTATAGGCATTATTTTAATCATACATTGAATTAAATGTTTTTTTTCAGAACTATTTCATGCACAATACACAGTTGTCCCTAGGTGCATAGGTAGCTATGTTTTATCTTAAACAAAGTGCCCATGTTTCAGACTCACCAAAATGCTCAGCATATTTCATAGAAGAACCTGGGTTTGCGCTGGCGGATTACCATCACCTTTTAGAGTGGCTCAGTCCTTAGCAGAGTTTGGTACATCAACACCATGCCCCAACAGTGCTGATCTTGATGGTAAGATTTTACAGTTCAGAAGTGAACTCTGTTATTTGTGGTGCTAATGATAATGGAGTTGATATGCTTTTAAACACTTGTAAATGAACTGAACAAGTGAACATTGCATCATTGAATACATTCAGCAATGTAGTTCTATTGTGTACATGTGACATTCCTTCTTTATAATAAATGAACAACATACAGTTAGTGAATAGTGATAAAGGCCTGATTTCTGTTTGTCGATAAGAATCAATTTTCTCATTTTTTATAGGTCTTCCTTTGTTCTTGCCACTCCCTGTCCATTTCTCGCCATTTCCACTCTATTTCCTCCCTGGCATTCCTCCCTATCTGATGTGATTCATTTTGTGACCTCATAAATTATTCAAACTCACCCAAGTACATTCATGCGCCCTCAGGTCTGGCCAAAGCCTATGAGCCTGCAGCTGTAGAGAAGAAGTGGAGTGACCGATGGAAGGATGACGTCACTGGTGCAGGACCCGATGACGTCGCCGGCAGTCGGTTCTCATTGGTCCTGCCGCCACCCAACGTCACAGGCCGCCTTCACCTGGGGCATGCGCTAACTATCAGCATCCAGGACGCCCTCTGTCGCTGGTAAGACGCTCAGTTTGGGTTCTCTATCGTTGGTAAGACTCTATCGTTGGTAATCGTTGAGGTCTTCTATCGTCGAGGTCGTGTTGGGGGGTCCTCGTTCGCTACTGACTATCGTCATGACAATCCGTTATCACTGTTGAGGTGGTATAAATCGGGGCTGTGGATGTGGAGTCTGTTAGGGTTGGGGTCGGACGGAGTTGACAATTCTTGCTGAACCTAGTCAGAGTTGGAGGAGTCGACACAATTTTACCGACCACGTCTTCAGAGTCGATAAAATTTGACCCAAAGTCATGCTCTTAGCTTATGAAGTTAACTCGTTTTCGACCGTTCATCATATGCGCTGCACGTTGATATGATATTGAATCATTCGAGCTTGAGAACCTCGGAGACTGTTGTGAGCCCCTGAAATGCGGGTCTCTGTAAGCTGACTCCCCCACCTCACAGACTGGTATGGTAATATTCAGTCTTTGTCGGATGTTGTTGATTCTGCTGGAGTTTTATTACCTGTCGAGGACCCAGGGCTGGCAGCTCTGAGCTGCACCTCAATATATGTAATGTAATGTTTTGAATGCTTCAAGAAATGTTGAGGCAAAAGAAAATCTGCAGACAGAGTCACAAGTCATTTCACCATTATGCGGGCTTTGGGATGCTTAGAGTCGGAGTTTGAATCGATTCTGTGAGCCCTGAGTCGAGTTTAACTGAACAACTACCGACTCCGCAGCCTTGGAATATGAATAGCCTCTGTTTTCACCATACGGGCCCTCTCGACAAATCACTGACCGGCCTCTCGGTAACCTAATAAGGTCACCACTACCAGGCACCTCGCCACTGGCCGATATTGAAACGGATCAATGGATGTCTTGAGCCTTATAGGCCCATCGAGCAATATGCATTGAGATGCTAAGTGTAGCGCGTAGTGCGCTTACGTCATGTGACTACCTCGCCCGGTCGCCACTAGAGGCGCTTGTGTTGGAATACACTCAGTTGACCGCTACATCTGGTGACAGCGGGTGGGCCGCTCCGCAGTCTGAGCCCCACACCATGGATGGTGAAAGTGATACGAGAGTGCAAGTGCTTGTACCGCCGCAGCCTAAAACCGAACAGTGCACGATCACCGATTACATCGACTACTTTGAGGCTGTGGCGACGGCCAACGCGTGGGACGATACTGTGAAAGCCAGGATTTTTCCTGCGCTGCTCGGTATGGGCAATACTGTGCTGACAGACTGCCCGGAGGCTGACAAAAAGAGCTTTGCCAAAATCAAAACGTATCTCACTAAAGTTGGAGAGCCGTACCGTGATGCGTTTATGCTCGATTTGTTTCGTGTTCGAATGGCTGACCTTGAACCGGTCGAGAAGTACCGTGACCGTGTGGTGACTTTAGTTGAACAAGTTTACCCGCGGTTTGCAGCGAGCAATAAGGCAGCTCTTGCTCGTGATTTTTTTGTCTGTGGACTGCCAGATCCTATGAGGGCAGCAGTGTTGAACTCTGGCTCCTGCCGTAAGCTGGAAGAGGCTGTCAACTCAGCGCTGATGTGCTTCAGCCTCAGCGGCCGGCTCGGGTCGCGCGGCTCTGGAGGCGCTGCCGGTGGTGATCACGTGACCTGGCGCACGGTGCGTTCGCCGGCCGCTCCGAGGGGAGGAGTGAGGAGCGGCGACCCGGCGCGGTCTGGCCCGAGGGCGGTATGCTGGCGCTGCGGTATTGCTGGTCATGTGCGTGCACAGTGCCGCGCTCCCGGCGACGGACTGTCTGGTAGACGGATGGAGGGCATCGCGGTTTCACCCGTCTCCGATGATGGCCGTGTCTACGTCGACATCGACATCGATGGCTGTCCGATGCAGCTTCTGGCAGATAACGGTGCCACCGTCAGCTGTCTGCCCACTTCTTTCCGGCCCAACTCCATGGCTAAAGACGACTATGTTATCGCTGCCAATGGGTCGAGAATGCCTGTGTATGGTCTGCTGAACTGCTCTGTCTCGCTCAGTGGCGCTACGCTGATGCACGACTTCATCATCACCGACGTGCAGCGCGGCGTGGTGGGGGCAGACCTTCTGCAGAAGTTCGGCGCGTCCATCGACTTCGACCGTGGAGCTGTGCTTGTCGGTGTGAATCGACACCCAGCTGGCGCGGCCGACAGTGTGACGTCACCTGGCTCCGGTGGCGCCTGCGTCGGAGGGACGGTCGTCGCGCCGGTGGCGCCATCTCTGGGCTACGTTGAGACTGCTCAGAGTGGGGCGCCGCCTGCGCCTCCCTCCGCTCCGGTGGCGCCATCTGCGACTCCCTCCGCTCCGGTGGCGCCATCTGCGAGACACAGCGTGAAGGAAGATACTGCCGCCGGTGAGGCGCCGCTGCTGGACTGGGAGGAGGGATGCTTCCACGAGGTCGGGATGCTGGCTACCGGTGAGGACTTACTGAGCGAGTGTGACTTTGATGATAGCAGCGATGCTTCGTGTAACGGACTTGAAAAGCTTAAGAGCCAGTTTGCGGACGTGTTCAATGGTCTCGGGCGCACCAGTTTGATAGAGCATAAGATAGAAACAACATGTGACCAGCCCATAGTGTGTCGCCCTCATAAACTGCCAGCGGCCTATATGTCTCGAGCTCAAAGTGCAATCGATCAAATGCTTCGTGATGGGGTGCTAGAACAAAGTGACAGTGACTACATGAACCCCGTGGTGCTTGTTAAAAAGAAAAGCGGCGACATACGTGTCTGTATTGATTTCAGGAAACTGAATGAGGTGACGGTGAAAGATCGTCAGCCTGTGCCGCTGGTGTCAGACGTCATCGGGAAGCTGGCGGAGTCGACAGTGTTCTCAGTGCTCGATGCTCGCTCGGGATACTATCAGATCCCTCTCAGGGAACAGGACAGAAAGAAGACGGCCTTCCAGTTTAATGGCCAGCTACTGCAATTTCGTACAATGCCGTTCGGTCTCTGCAACGGTCCCAGTACGTTCAACCGTCTGGTGCAGAGGCTCACACAAGATC